CGAGTGAAACCCTAATTTTTAGGGTTTGTAGGGGTCTTTAAGCACCTTTATAGCTCATTTACCCTCACCTTTCCAGCCCCCAATCCCTTGAGTCGTTCTTGGCAAACCCTAACCCCATAAGAGTGTATTTTGAGCTAAAAGTGTGTCCTTTGTGTGCTTAAGGAAGAACGAGTTGGATCAAGGAGCTTAGAAGTTGGTAGCTTTTTGTGGTTCTTCTTGTCTCAAAAGTCCAATTTTTATGCATGATTGGTTTTGGACATTTTGGGTTGTCCTTTTAAACCCTAGGAAGGGTTCTAATCCATAAAAATGTGGTCCCTTTAACTAGTTTGGCTCTATGCAACTTGTAGAAGGTCTTAATGGATTAAGACCTTGTGTTAAGGACTTTATGGACGTGTAGAGTCATAAAGTTGGAAGCTTTATGACTCTAGTATGCCTCTGGACCTTGGATCTGAAGTGGGAGCTTAAGTTTTGAAGCCATTAAGCACTTAATAAAGTAAATAGAGTCGCGAGGTTACGCCCCGCGTAAAAGGGAGTACGCCCCGCATACTCGGTCAGCTTCCCCTTAATCAGTCAATGTGAGGCATGCGTACGCTGAGCGTACCTTCAGAGTACGCCTCATGTACTCACATGGAACAACCAGTTTTGACTTAAATCGGTTGAGTTGACTCAGTAGATCTATGGAGCTTGACCATGTTTGACCAAGTTTGAATGTTGAGGGTATTTTTGGGATTTTGATGGAATTGGTCACTTGGTGGATGTAGGCATTAAGTAAAGAGTTGAGATTCGGAGTCGGGCCTTATCAGTTCTGTTTAGCAATGAGGTGAGTTTTCCTCACTATACTTTCGGGTCGAAGGCACCATGTAACGCCCCGTTCCTAGTATGCAATTAATTTATTTAAGTATTTATTTTTGAGTTACTCGACGAGTTGGTAGCCCTAACTCGTCGAATAGATGCCAAAAAGGACACGGGGATTTAAATGGTCTACTCGCAGAGTCCAAGCTTGGACTCGATGAGTAGGTCTACTAGGAGGAAACCCTATTTTCGGGGTTTTGCACCATATTTAAGCCACTTAACCCCCCTTTTGGGCCTCCCTTACCATCCTCCCTGTCCTCCAAAACCCTAATTCATTATGAGCTTCGTCCTTGAGAGAATATTGAGATTTTGAGTGTGTTTTTGTGATATAGAAGAGGGTTGGAAGAGCTTGGAGCCATCAAGCTTGTGGAAGAAGATCAATATCTAGGATTTCATTCATCTTTGGCAACCTTCTGAGGTAAAAAGTTCTTAGCTTGATAACACATAGCTTAGATATTCTTAAGTGTTGATTTATGGGTCTTTTTGACCCCTTTGAGAAGGATAAGTTACTCCCTATGGGTTGTATGCTAAGAAATCCCTCTTTCCTATGATATTTAGCCTCTAGAACCATAAAAGAGGTCTTGAACCCGTTTTTGTCCAAGTCATGGTCATGTTCATGGAAGTAGGTTGCTATAACATTAGTTTGGGTCCATTTGAGGTGTGCAAAGCCATCAAGTTTCAAACTTTATAGAAATGGACCATGGAAACGACCTGGATATATATTTTGTAGCCGTAGAAGTGTGAAATCAGTTGTTTAGGTTAGATCTGCAAGGGACTCAACGAGTTCATATGGGAACTCGATGAGTTGGATGATCTTGTCCCTTTTCTGATTATGTTAGGACTCGGCGAGTTAGTTCGTCTAGTCGTGATGATAAGTAGATTGGGAACTCAACGAGTCATATGGTGACTCGGCGAGCCGAGTCGTGATTCTAGGGTTCTGAGTTCTAGAACTCGAAGAGTCATGAGGCTTACTCGGCGAGTTTGGTCAACCTGGAAAGTTGACCTTGACCAGGATGTTGACTTTAAACAGGGGTAATATGGTCATTTTACCCTAAGAAGGATTATCTGGTTTTGATTAAGTGTTGTTATGGAATTGATAGCCGAATAGTCACCAGAGCAGCAGACAGGGATTCCTCACTTATTTTTTTGGTAGTTAGTCTTGCGAGGTGAGTTCCCTTTCATTAGGAACGGGCCTAAAGCACCAAGGTCGGCCCGTATATGTGATATGTTAGTAGATGACTATGGACGGGGCCCGAATCTCGTAGCAGTCTAGTGTGGGCGGGGCTCGATTCTCATAGTATTATTCGAGTATAGATATGTGATTGTTTGGTAGATATAATTGTTGTTTATGTGATATTTGTATGCATGTTAGTAACGGAGTGTGGGCGGGGACCCAATCTCCTAGACAACGAAGTGTGGGCGGGGCCCAAATCTCCTAGACAGCAAAGTGTGGGCGGGGCCCGAATCTCCTAGGCAGCAGAGTGTGGGTGGGGCCCGAATATCCATGAGAGTGGGCGGGGCCCGTATCTCCTAGTTGTATGATATTGTATGGTATGTGGTAGTTTGGGGAGAATCACTAAGCTTCGTGCTTACAGTTTTCAGTTTTGGTTTAAGGTACTTCCGGTAGCAAGGGGAAGGGCTCGGGGTGATCACATGGCACACACCACAGTTCCAGACTGGGATGTTTAGACTCTAAAATTTTTCTCATATGATTTTGATACAGTGCATGTCACGATGTTTTGAGATACATGATACTTGATTTTCTTTATGACTATGGATGATTTATGGTTTTATTAATGATTTTGAAAATAAAAATTTTGGAATATATTTTTGGGAAGTTTCACACCAAGGCCAACCCATTGGTTTGATAACCTGATATTGTTGATTTGCTGAGTATGGAATAAATATTCATGCTAGTTTTGATATGCTAGTCTGGTGTTTGTAGGGTTACCTGTGATATTGTTTGTTTATCTGTATATGATATTATCTGTTATATGTCGACATATTGTGTAGGTTGGGTTGAGGTTGTACTGCTCCGTACTGTAGCCAATAAACACTAGAGCAAGCCAAATATGAGTTGAGGGTCGGGGATGGCATGCCAAACTCATATTGAGGGCTCATGAGCATTCCAGATACAAGATGAAGACCCGGGAAGGGTATGTCAAACTCGTATTGAGGGCTTAGTATTTTGCTATTTTTTCGCAAAGAACTAAATTACATTGCTATTCTTTTAAAAAAATCCTTACATAACCCACACTTTGTAGGTTATCCTAGACAACCGGACAGGTAAGTTATCGGTGCTAACTCGAGTTGCTATTCACAAAACTAATCGTCTGTCATCTTGCAGGGAAGACACATACTAATTTTATCTTACGCTATCACACAGTGACATATCTATAATGTATGTTGATGAAAGATAGCAGCTCCATCTCTATAGTTAACATAAAAGGGTGATGTAACTCTTTTCGCAAAGTTGTATGTGCTTTATATTTTTAAGTATACAAGTCTACATAACATTGTAAAATTGATACAAACATGAGTTCCTCCAGAATTTAACTTAAAAAGCATAACAATGTATGGTTCGTCGCCTTTGGATTAGGGAGATGAAGGTGTTAATTACACTGAACCAGTCATGAGAAAAAGGTCAATTGAATTCGCTGCTGGAAAATTTTGTTTCTGTATTGGGTTCCTACACTTTAGTTTTAGATGAATGAGAAATACAAGGAACACCATCAAATTTACTACTAAACTCTACAATTTCTTTATTTTATAATTCAGACAATATGAGTTACTTCACATGTTTTATAATAAAGAACAATTGATGTGATTTCATGTAACGCTCCGATTCTCAGGTATTGATTTTGATATAATATTTTTTCTTGACTTCAAGGTCTACTCGACGAGTTGGTTGCCCTACTCATCGAGTAGCAGCGGGTTGGTCCACGTGTTTAAGTGACCTACTCGTCAAGTCCAAGAAGGGACTCGACGAGTAGGAACTGGCGGATGAAACCCTAATTTCCGGGGTTTTGCATCTTATTTAAAGGATCATTGGCCTCCCCAGCCTCCCCTTTATAGCCTCTTTTCATTCCAAAACCCTAATTCGTGTGTGTATGCTATATTGGTGTGTTTAGACTTGGAAGAAGAGTTTTGGTGAGAAAAGCTTGGGGAACAAGTGATTAGAAGCAAGGAACTTGTGGGAATCATAGATCTACTTCAGTGGGCACCCTTTTGAAGGTATTAAGCTGTTATCTTGGCCTTATTTCATCTTAGATCTCATTTGGGTGCACTACTAGAAAAACAACCTTTTACGACGCTCATTGCGCGTCGTAAAAGTCTTAGAGGACGCGTAAATGCGCATCAAGGAAGGCCCTGTCATAAAGAAAGACGACGCGCTTATGCGCTCATTTACGACACGCATTTACGACGCGCGTGTACGACACACAATGCGTATCAAGGAAGGCCTTGTCATAAAGGAAGACGTCAGAGATTCGCGCGTCGTAACCTTACGACGCGCGTGTTAATGACACGCAATGCGTATCAAGGAAGCCCCTGTCAAGAAAGGCCATGTCATAAATGAAGATGACACACATTTTTGCGTATCATAATTTTAAATGTTTAAAAATAATATTATTTATAGATTTACTAATTTTCAAATTAAATTTGCATTTAATGTCTCTAAATAGAAAATAAAATATCATATACAAAAAATACAATCCATTACATAAAATTTAATGTCATACAAATAACTGTTCCATGGAAAGATAAAACAAATATATAGAAGTTGTAACGAAATTTACAAATTAATAGTTCTAATAACCTAATGTGTGCATCTATGTAAACAAGATTTGTGCTGATTTTTTAAAACCCTTGTCATCAAATGCTTCCTTGGCTACAATAGTTGTTTGAACATCTGAAATTTATATATTTTTTTTAACATTTTACAAAATTATATTATATATAATAAGCTTCTCAACACTTGTTATCAAAAAATTAATTAACTCTCACCAGGGTATTGAATTAGAGCTTGAACTCCACCATTTTTGTCAAACATTGCTATCTTTAAAATAGACCCAAAAGCAGAAAATAACTGTTTACAACAAAGTGAGAGAAAGAGAGATTCAAAATGAGCACATGGTCAAATATGAAAAAACATTCATAGTCAGAAAGGTCAAGTTCTTGAATTGATTTTTTTTTGATAGTTCTCCTTGATGGCCGAACTATTCTTTTCAATTTCATCTTCATCAGAATTTCCATCTTTAACCTCGTTATTACCCTGTATTACTCCAGGTAAATGTCCATGACTCCATAAGGATCCTGCCAAAGCTAGTCAAAGTCATGCTATAGAGTCATGAAAAAAAACAATTTAACATCCTACATTACTGAGAAAATAACATGGAGGGGAATTTAGGTAAAATCGTCATTGGGTTTAGGATATATGTAATTATATGTAAACTTACTCATGGGGAAGGGCTATCTGCATATATATATATATATACATTATTAGATGAAGATTTATATATTCTTATTAGGCATGTAAATGTAAATAAGAACTTATGTGTACAATTACTTGTCTTTTCACTGTGATCTATAAACTCATTGGCTTCTTCCACAATATCCAGATATACTCCAAGCAAACTATTTACCTAAAAAAAATAAAAATTTCTTTAATTTATCAAATTAAATCTAAGGATACCACACAAAAAGTCATCTACAAGTTTTATGGATACACAAACAACGAATGCAAATATCTAGCAATAAAGCAGGAAGCAGATACTAGAAACAAAAAAGAATAAATCTTTAAATAATGTGTATTGTGTATATAATTTTACCCTTGATTGCAATTGTGGCCGAGTAATACTCTTTGTGCAATACTCTGCAATGCACTTCAAAAATGACTGGTAATCATCTGAGTTGCTCAATCTTTCCTTCACCTTCTCACGAAGACAAAGCATTTGAGCATGTACATCTTCCAACATACAAAGGGTCAATAAGGACATGAAATCAATTGTTCAAGAGAATGCAATACCTTTATAACAACATCCAGATGGGACTAGTAGATACCTTGATGAAAGAGTTCAACTATAGAGTCTTCAAGAGTACGTGGGGGTTTATTTTGGGAAAAATGATGTGTCACATCACAATATTTATCATCTTGATCATGTTCTCTTTGTTTTGTGTCTTATGATGTGTCTTTTTCTTTCTCACCATGTTCCTTAATCTCTTTATCAGGTATAGTACATGCTTTTTCATGATTTGGATCAGGCTGGTCAATGTTGACTTTGCATTCAGTGTGAGCTGTTGGGAGTAGGTTTTTCTGGGATTTTGTTGTTGTTACAGGGACACGGTAAGGGAACATATCATCAGGTAACCGGATCATTTGAACGAATAGCAATGCTAATCAAGTTAGGGCTCGGCTTGGGTGCAGACATACCTCCATCCATTGACAGTGAAGATGAACATGAAATTGGACTACAATGAATAAATATGATGTATTGAGAAAAAGTGCAACAACCATAGAAAAGAACAATTGCAAAATATGGGGCTTAGATGCTTGATATAGTTTCACTGTAAGTTTGTTTAACTTTAAACAACAAAAGGTAAATGATAATCATTCATTAATATACTTCTGAACATCTTCATCTAAAAAATTCATTCCAAGATTAATTGGCTGTTAACTTTTCCAACCTTAAATTGAACTAGATTTGTCAAATATTCTTGAACGTCATATATGATTAGGATGCAATACCAAGTAAATCAGATTGAAAAAGAAAATAAAAAAAAAACATTATGTTCTTCAGATTATAACCAAATCAGATTACTATAATATAAGCAAATTATAGCAAAAGCTAAAAAAACAAAATACACATTATGCCCAATTCATACAGAGGCGATACCAGCAATCAAGAAATAAGAAACACTTAAACAATATCATTTTATCAAATAAAAGCTACCCTTTAACCCACCTTGTCAGTTTTGCAATCTGTTCTTCTGGAACATTGAATTTAATAAGCACCTCTCTTGCAGCATCCATGCTTAATCTACGAAGATCAGCACCAGTTAATATATTGGTTCCATAAATATAAAACAAAGTAAAGTTAATATATTGGTATTATGGGTAACAAAGTAAAGTAATGAGTAAAATTTCACCTGAAAATCACAGAATAACTTTAAGATGTCTCAAAGTTGGTTGTTGCAAAGAAGAAACTGTTTCAGAAAAAAAAAATAACAATTTTATATTAATACTTTTAAGAGTCACCAGCAAGAATTACCTGTCTTGATGAAAGAGTTGACAGGATAACTTTGACATGAGTATGAACTGTAACAGCTTGCTGTGTGCTTATCTCTGGAATAAAGGACTTATAAAGTTGCTTACTCAAGAAGTGTTGTTGTTTCTTGCTGTGTGCTTATCTCTGCAATGACAGACTGTAGAAAACAAACAATTAACTAAGTGCACATAACAACAATAGGAAATTAAATATATTTTATGAATTATATAATTGAATTAACAAACCTTGCAGTGTGAAAAGAATATACATCCAGGGTGAAGTTCAGGACCAAGAACAACAACTATTTCATTGATGAGGCGACCTACTCCTTGCTGAAGCACAACCTATCCATTCTCTCCAGACAAAAGAATATCTATAGCAAGGCCAAGTATTGCCTAAAAAAGAATGACAGATCATATAATAACTATTATCTCCTAGTCTAGATCGTTTTAATTACATGCCATCTCCTGTTAATTTTTATTCTTACATTAGAGAGAAAGGTGGGAATTGTATACATACAAAAGGATATGTTGTTGGAATAGTGTCTAAGGCTGTAACTATATTCGGTTGTGCATGGTCCTTTTGGGTTGCCTTCACCATAGCAACTTGAAGGATGAATTTATTAAGAGAGAGTAAATATTATAAGGAATAATATTTAGCTATTTGATTAATATAAGTCATAAATTAATTGGTATTAATTTGGTGACTTAAAGAGATTAATTAAATAAGAGGGTATAAACTGTCAATTGTTTGATAGTTAAGATTTAGACTGTAAATCCATTAGGGTTGACCTTGGACAGATTCTAGGAGCTTTAGGATAGCTCAAAATCGTCCATAAGGTTATCTATGGAATGGATTTGGATAGCCTTAAGAGAAGATTATCCAATTAGGGTTTAGGGTGAAACCCTTAAGGAGTCTACAAGTATAAATAGACCCTATGGGTGAGGGAATTAGATACACAACCTCAAGCAAGGATACTCTGGCCGAATTCCTCCCCACTCCACTCTCCTAAATCATCTTGCTTGCTATTGGTGTTTGTAAGCCATTAGAGGAGTGACATTTGTGACTCTAGAAGCTCCAAGACAAGAAGATCAACAAGGAACTCAAAGGAATGATTCTAGATCTGTTTTAATGTTGTTGCTTAACCTAATTAGCCATTAGAAGTCTTGGATTCAAAAACATGTTTATTAGAAAGCCTAGATCCAAGCAATAGGGTTTTGCATGCGCACATAGGAAAGTTCTTATGGCTAAAACCCAACAGTGGTATCAGAGCCTAGATTGGTTTTCTTTAAATTGTTGCTTGAATAACTGAAACAAACCAGCAAAATTCGATTTTTTGGGTTTTGAGTCACTGACTCGTCGAGTTCCAAGGTGGACTCGTCTAGTAGGCCTGACTCGGCGAGTCCCTTTGTGCACTCGGCGAGTCCAAGCGTCAGGAAGGGCCAAATTCGGGATTTCTTTGTGTTTATCTTATCCAAACTTTCCATAAACTAATTAGATCAATATGAATCCGATTTCTTGATAAATATAAGTGTTATCTTGATCTAGTTAAAGGTAATTATCAACTAATTAAATATTTAGTTTCCTTATATGATAATTAATTAATTATTTTGATTATTTTTGGTAATTATCTTCAAAGAAATCAAAGATAAATCAAATAAAGATAATTAAGATATTAATTGTTAATTGAAATTATTTGTTATTTGATCCTCCATGTTTTAAATGTTTAAAACCTACCCTATAGTTTTGAAATTTATATTTGTGATTAAAAGTTCTAATTTAAACAACTTAAATTTCAAACCCTAGATTTTGAAAAGTTTAAAATGCAACCCTATACTTATATAATATTACTAGGATAATATATATATATGTATAACTAAATGCTAGTCTTACCGCTAGTAGGCCTCATTCACGAAGCCGATCTATAAGGTGGGTATAAGGTTGCGGCCTATAAAATGGCGCTTAATGGGTGTACACTCACACCCACCGCTTGCTTGATTGGTGGAGGGTCGTTAGCCGAACGGGTAGGATAGGGCAACCTCATCCTCTCATTAAAAGTATAATAAGAAATACGAAGTAACTAAACTTTCTTTTTAAATTTCCCAATCTTAGTTACTTTAGGAAAAGTGAATTGATGCAATCCCATGAAATTACACTTTGCACCTTGCTAAGATGTTAGTGGAGCGTGTGTGGTTTACCGGCACACTAATTGGTTCTAAGCGAAGGTGGCAAAGGGTGATTCATTGTTTATCATAGTTCGATGGAGCGTGTGTGGTTTACCGGCACATCGAATAGGTGATCGTAACAATGAAGGCACCATGTAAATTTGCATGGTAATTCACACCCGCTTTGTGATCCTCGGCATCCCAGTCACAAACAAGAGGGGCATATCGAGATTTAAACATGCCATTGAATAGTTCAATGAATCTCATCCGAACCTAGGAATTCTCAAAAACACTTAGGACTAAAAGTTTAAGTTTTGTAATGGAGAATTAGTGAATCGTCATTCACTTACCTTCAATTTATTTGCATGTTGGATTACGGCATCCCTTTTCTAGTATGTAAATGTTATTGTTGGATCCTAGCCCTAATTTTCTTATTGGGTGATAATTAGGGATTCTTGTTCTAATCTATCTTTGTCCTTTCTATAGATGTCAAACGCAAACAACGCTGCTGCTAGTTCTTTCACGTTGATGAGCCTTTGCCAAAAGGTCACCTTCGATGGAACGAACTTTGGCGAATGGATAAGATACATTCGCACCATTGCTCGCTATGAGGATAAAGAGTATGTCCTCGACGAGAAGCTCGAGAAAATCAACCCAGAAATTGCTACTCCCGCCGAAATCACCGCCTTTGAAACCCATGAGCGAGATGCGATGAAAGTACATTGCATCATGATCGCCACCATGAACTCTGAGTTCCAAAAGTCCTACGAGGACATGTATCCATACGAGATGCATCAAGACTTGTTGGAGAGGTACCACCAAAACGCGAGACAAGAGCGTTACGAGATTTTCACTAACATGATTTCCGCCAAGATGGGTCATGGAGAATCTCTTACCGTGCACTTGCAAAAGATGCAAAGATATGTTTACCGCCTTCGCAAGTTAAATGTTGACTTCGGCGAAGACTTGGCGATCGACATGGTGCTTCACTCTTTGCCTCCGATGTACAATCAATTTAGGATGACCTACCATATGAACAAAGAGGAGGTCACTCTAAGTAAACTCCAAGGTCTCTTGAGGGTTGCTGAGAGCAATTTCAAGGACAAGTCTGTTGCACCTACTCCCAATCCATCCGCTGCTCCTGTCTTGGCTATTGGCCAAGTAAAGGGAAAGAAGAGGAAAGCTTCTTCAAGTAACTATCGAAAGGTGAAAGCCCGAGATGGTTCCTCTTCTAGTGGGACCAAAGTTGATCCCTCTAAGCCCTGCTCTAACCCGAAGGAGGCAGAGTGCCACCACTGCCACAAGATAGGACATTGGAAGCGAAGCTGCCCGGACTACCTGCAAGCCATCAAGGAAGGAAAGATCAAGCCATCTTTCGCAGGTATATATGCAATAAAATCTAACGATTCTAATCATGCTATTTCTTGGGTTCTTGACACTGGTTGTGGTTATCACATTTGTTCTAATGTGCAGGGACTAAGAAGAAGTAGGGATGTGGAGCAAGGAAGAAATCAATCTAATCATGGGGAACAGAAGATCGTCGCCTGTGACCAAGATTGGAGTGTATTCTTTAGTGCTTAAGAATAGTTTAGTTTTAGATTTGAACAATTGTTGCTATTCGCCAGAAATGGCTAGAAACATCATTTCATTTCATGGTTTATATAGACAAGGATTTAGATTTTCTTTTAATAATGAGAATGGTTCTATTTTGGTTTTATCTAAATGGTGTCTTTTATTTTGAAGCTATACCATGTAATGGAATATATGAAACTGTTATGATTGTTGATAACTTAGGAAATGATGTTTTGAATATTGATTCTTCCACTAGTATGGATAAAGCATCCTTGTGGCATTGTCGTCTTGGACATGTCAACAAGAAACGCATAGCCCAACTCCAAAAGGATGGAGTGTTGGAGTCATTCGACCTTAGGGAAGATGACACATGC